GTCTGGTTCAGTAGGTATGCTCAAAGGATACTTATTAGTTCAGGTTCCACTTGTAGTGGTACCCACCTTATAACTTTTAGCCCACTGATTAGAACACTCACCTGGGATGTGGGAGACCCAGGTTCAATTCCCCCTTTTCTGCCAGAGGGGGACAAAGAATTTGAACAGGGGTCCCTCGCCTCTTAGGAGGGTGCTCTAACCACTGAGCTATGGGATATTCTGATGTGGGGCTCCCTCAGCCTCTCTCCTTTTGAAGCGATTCCAATGTGGCTAAATAATGAAAGAGTGATTGGAACAGGGGACTGGACATGGATTCAGGCCTTAACCACTGGACTAGAGAGTCATTCCTACTCTCTCTCCAGCCCAGTGACTAAGTATCCACAGTGAGACAGTCATTCGACCAGAGAGAGAGTGGGACAGTCCAGTTGTTAGGGTACCCTTCTGAGAGGTGGGAGACCTCTGTAAAAATTCTTTCTCCCTCTTTGGCAGAAAGGAGGGAATTGAATCTGGGTCTTCAACCTCCAAGGTGAGTGCTCTAACCACTGGGCTAAAAGTTATAGGATGGGCACTACCACCACCATGTGAGTTAGGTGCCGAACTCATTCCCACAAGAAACACTTTACGTGCCTACTCCCTCTAACTACAGGAGGCAGGTACCCATTTTTTGGAGATAAATGCCACTCTGCAGCCTGGACATCGGCGCCTATCTCTGAGAGAGGGAGTAGGGCTTAGCATACACCCCTCTGGTTGGAAACTCCCACTGGCTATCTTAGGCAGCTCCCTGCCTAGCGTGCTGGCTTTCGTGAATCATATTTTTTTGGCACCTCTCTCTCCCCATTCGTTGTGCAGGGAGCCGAGGTGCTTGATTTGGCTTTGTGGATCCCAGAATGGTTCCTGGATTTTCTAGGTGTGTAAAAGTTAGACACTGATGCTCAGCGCTACAACTCCTAAGCCCCTTCGTCAATGCCACCCATAGATTTTGGGTGAAGATTTTGGTCAAATTATAGATACAGGTATGTAACCAAGAGCAGGAAAAACATGCTTAAAGAAACAGATAGACCATCCAATTAGAAATTTGTGTCAAAGGATTAATGGAATTACACAGCTATAACTGAGAGCAGAATCTGTCCCAATTACTAAAAATGTCTGTGTGACATTCTGTTATCCTTTTGTGTCTTTGTGGTGTTTATATAGTGTATTATAGATATTTTCCTCTTACTAGCACAACTTTCAGGTTAACAGCAGTCAGTTAAAACATTCTTTGGGTGAATGAAAACATGAAAATATCTGGATAGAATTTTCAAGAGTTGGATTTGAAAACAGTTGGAATTCACTTGTGTGTGTGGTTGGTTTTGTGGGTTTTTTTTTTAATGCACTATTCATGGATTTTACCACAGTCTGAATAATTCCCTCCTTTCCAGAAAAGAGTATAGAGGTGTTTAGAACTAAAGGTGAAGCGTTGGCAGTTAGAGATCTAATCGGGACAGCATGCTCTTCAAAAACAGTTCCCAACATGGCTAGTTACTTAGAACATAGTTACATTATCATTCTGGTTACACAGTATAGATATGCTAGGATTATATAGTCTCCATTGATTAAGGTGTGAAGGTTTAGTTTTTCCTCCAACATCTGTACTGCTTAGAGATCTGTGTAGAATAGTTTGCCAATATTTTTGCTATAGTGTTACATTGTAGTTTTGTTCTTTGTGTTGTGGAGTAAATTGACAAGTGAATTGTTTGGTGATAATGTTTCAAAGTCAAGGTGAGAGAGCTAAATCCTGGCCTCAGAGTGTAAATCGATTGGCTTCAGTGGGACCAGGATTTGGCCTCTGATATAGGAAAGACACTGAAACTAACTTCAGATTTTAGTTTGAGTTGAGAATATGCAGATACTATCCTATGTCTCTGATTATATTAAATAACATTATTTGGAACTTCGTATATCTTAAGTTGAACAGAGATGCCTTTTAGAAATTGAATACATTTAAAAGATGGCATACAGATCCCAGATCATTAACACAGTATAGGTTGAGGCTCCAAATTAAAAATGCATCCATTTGTAAATGTTGACTTTGTTTCTCCTTCAAAAGTGGATTGTAAGACTAATACCAAAAGCAGGACAGGGAGCTGCTGCCTTTATGTTGTGGTAGGTTGCCTTCCATAGTAGCAGTGAAAACTCTGAAACCTTGGAACCTGAATGTAAGACTTTGCAGATAAATGGAGGAAGAACCCATTTAAAAATACATCTTAAAACCAATTTATGCCTAGACTTGTTTATCTAATCTGCTAAAGATTGGGGAAGTCAGTTTTTTGTATCTCTTTAAAAAGAGAAAAGAAATGCATTTCAGATCATCTTTAACCACTTGAGAGAGGTGCAAAAATCCTTTGCTTTAAACCATCACACTGTCATGTAAGCAATGAGCAGCTTCTGAAGTTTGTAAAGAGATTCCAGTCACACTAGTGATGTTCACTTAGTTGTTTGATTGTAAAATCATCTTGTTAAGCATAGTGCAGCTACAGCAAAAATGTATGTTCAAAACTGGGAACTAGGTGACCCAAGGTTTAATATTGTCTGGCACAGGACATGTTAAGGGGACTTGATGCATCTAATGTGGTATGCAAGTACAATATACATGTTGTTCTGAAGCACTTATAGGGTGGATGAAATTGGCTTAGAATAGGCTCAAAAAATTAAATGGCTCTGAAATCAGCATCTTCTGGTAAAGAGTGTGAATATTAGTAGTAAAGGGTGGGGTGGAAATGGAGACTCTTAAATTCATTTGAAGGAACTAAGGTGGTTATCATGGTCAACTTTCTAATATGTGATAGACCAAACATGTGCAAGCATCATGAACACTTAGAAATGGATTATCTTCTTGACTGAAGGCAAGCAGTGTTGTGAAATTCTAACACAAATTTGCTGGTTTTGCTGCTATTCAGCATTTAGTCAAGTTTAGAGCTGGGAGTGTGTTTACAATTTTGCTTCTCCAAGTTTTGGTTAAAGATATAGTGAAAACTTTGCACTCTTTTTTCTATGTGAAAATCCTACTCTTGCACTTTTCACCCCAAGGTGATGATCCTCCTGAAGCTTACACATTTGTGTTGCCCCGACCTATCTTCTGTTGAAATTCCTGATGGACCTCTGATGTCTTCTGTCATCCATTGATCAGGCCAATTTCATGGCAGTGTGTAGTCCACAAGCACTAACAAACCAGTGAACTGGAGCAGTTTTTTAACCATGACAGTTCTTCTTTGCACTTAAAAAATACTGTGAAAATAGTGGGAAAAAAATCCAGAAATGTTGTGTTCATGAGGCTGACCTAAACATGAATTGACCTTTTTGACATTTAAAATGTACGTGTTCATATTGTTTATTTTTTAGAAACAGTTCATGACAAACATGAGCCCTGTCCTGCAAAGACTTGCACACAAGCTTACCTTTACATACTTTGAGTAGTCCTATTGACTTGATTGCAACTACTCGGAGTATAAGGTAAGCACACATGTAAGCCTTTGTAAGATGAGTGCTCTAATGTTGGTCTTTCAGTGAATAATGAGAATCTCATCAGGGTGGATTAATTTAAATCAAAATGATTTAAATCAGCAAGCAGGAAAGCTTGATTTTAATCACTGATTTTAATCATGTTTTGCATTTCTGCTTTTTAGTTATTTTCCTATAGCAAAAAGGTTGATTCTCATTGGTTGGTAATCATTAAAACATGTTCATTTGCAACTAAATCTAGTCTTTACACTAAGTCTGGAATGTCTTTTTTTGCTAATTAGGAGGATACACTATATCTGTACACATTTATTTAAGCAGTTATATAGCTTAATTTATATTTATTCAGATTCTTAATGTTTGTATGTACTTTAGAAAATGCTGAATAATGCATTTCTTATTTACTAGATGATTAATGTTTTACTTGTGATTTGTGTCAAGCTCTATTTGGATGGTAATTAAAATGCCTAAGACACATTTTTTATCAGTTACATAAAACTACCTTTCAGTGCTAGATGGATAAGTTTATAAAAAATTATCAAAACATGCTTTGCATTTAAAACTAACGGATTTATTAAACAAAGGAAGTATTATCTGTAGTTAGTGAACTGTACTGATTGTTTTTGTTTACCATGTCTTTTAAGATTTTAGAACTAGTAGATCTCGTTCTCCCACACCTAGTTTTTATTCAGAGATTAGAAAAGGAAAACAAGCTTTCCTGCCTTTTCAGCTCCCTGTCAGTTGCTAAACTTTGAATGAATTAGTGTTGGACTGAACTAGGTAAATAAACTAAAATGAAGAAAATATTCTCTTTACATCTGCAAAAGAGGATACTACTGTCAAAAGCTGGTTTGGTACTTCAGCAAATTCTAGTGCCAAGTGCTTAGTAGTAACTTTCATCAGTTCAGTGGTTTGACTTTCTTTAAAACTTGGCAACAAATGTGCTGCTTAATTTTTTTTAGAATTAATTTAAATGATTTTAACATATAATAGTAAGTTTAGGCCTTAACATAGGCTGTTATAATTTAAAAATAAAACTGTATTTAAATTTAAAAAGTCAACCTTAAATTAAAAAATATATATCATTAATTTTTATCTACCCTAAACACCCCATTCAGAGTTTCTAGTTAATTATCTTTCTATAGTGCAATTTATCTAAGAAAAGTCATTTTGTTTTTGTGCTCCTGATCTTATCTAGTTTCTAAACTAGCATCTCTGACACACAAAAGTCTAATGATTTGCCTGTCATATTAGCTGTCAGGGACTCAACCGTCATTCACTCCATGATCCTCCTATTACAAGTCTTTTGGTCTAACCACTGAGCTACATGAGATCTTTATAGAATCAGAGAAATGTAGGACTGGAAGAGACCTCAATAGGTCATCTAGTCCAGTCCCCTGCACTCAAGGCTGGACTCAAGGCAGGCATGTCTACTCCTGACAATAATTTGGTTGAATTCAGGTATATTAACATTACTCTTCTTGTTTATTTGTTCCCGTCAGCTTGTACCTCCTTTTAAACCTCAAGTGACATCTGAGACAGACACCAGATATTTTGATGAAGAATTTACAGCTCAGACGATTACAATAACTCCACCTGAAAAATGTAAGTAAGCCTGAAAAGCGCTGTATAACTACAGTTGAGAAGATAGATTATCAGTGTGTACCTATACTATAAAGACTGATATGAAATAGGTTACTCATTCTAATGGAGAAAGTGTTCTCACCCCTTTTAGTGGAACTTAATGTGGAACCATCTCAGGGTACGTCTATACTACCCGCTGGATCGGCGGGTAGTGTTCGATGTATCGGGGATCGATTTATCGCGTCTCGTCTGGACACGATAAATGGATCCGCGAATTGACGCCCATACTCCACCTCAGCAGGAGGAGTAAGTAGAGTTGACGGGGGAGCCACGGCAGTCGACTCGCCGCCGTGAGGATGGCCAGGTAAGTTGAACTAAGATACTTGGACTTCAGCTACGCGAATAGCATAGCTGAAGTTGCGTATCTCAGTTCGAACCCCCACGCTAGTGTAGCCCAGGCCTAAGAGTAGTTCTGTATGGCACAAGACTCCTTACAGTAAGCGTAGTAAGGTTACATATTTTTAGCCCATGAGATTTCTGAACAACTTCACAATTCCATAAATTATTTAATGAGGCAAATGCCAATTTCTAAGCATCTTGTTTGTTTGCTAATAAAGGCCCCACTTCATCAAAGTACTTAAGCACATGCTAGATTTCAAGCATATATATGTATACTCCCATTGACTCCAATGAGACAATTCACATGTTTAAAGATGGTAGGCACAGACTTAAATACCTTTCTGTAACAAGGCCAGAAAAGAGCACACGTTGCCACAGAGAACAGATATCTCCTGTCTAGACAGCCTGATTTTTTTGTTTTAGATTAAATTCACTCCAGTGCAGAGGCCTCATGCCAGGCTCCACACACAAGAACCCTTAATGCCATTATTAATTTAATTTAAGTGGTGCACTGCACCTTGTGCAGACCCTCTGCACTTGGGCGAGTTTCACTCTTCATACACATTGCATTTACCCTGTTTATCTACACATCTATAAATCAATATCTGATCATTCTAAATTTTATTTAATAAAAAAAAAAAGTTATCACATGGGAAACAATATTCCAAACTCCAGTGGTCAATATTTTAGATAGATTTCCTCTCTAAAAAGGTACACCTCTACCTCGATATAATGCTGTCCCCGGGAGCCAAACAATCTTACCGCGTTATATTGAACTTGCTTTGATCCACTGGAGTGCGCAGCCCCGCCCCCCCACATTATATCCGAATTCGTGTTATATCGGGTTGCGTTATATCGAGGTAGCGGTGTATTGTTTTTTATTACCTTTTGCATAACAAAAAAGTATGTATATAATTATAGCATATGAAGGCAGCACACACTATACTTAAGGTTGAGTTCGTTTAATTTGCCCCCTTTTTTTGGTGGCTTATAACTTTCTCAAACACATTCCTTTTTTTACTCAGATTTGCTGGGCGTGGTGCACCAGTCTAGAAGTGGGGTTTTTTAGAAGTAAATTTGAACAGAGCCAGTTTAGCTGTTTTTGAGTTCTGCATATTTTTTTAAATAAAATAATCCCCATCTTCTCCATGCATTTGAATGAGAATTTTTGTATATGCATAACTTTAAAAAAACGGATCAGATTTTGTTTAAATTTAGCTCAGTTTAGAGAAAATGGGTTGAGTATTTTGAAGCTATGAACTTTACACTTCAGGAAAAATGGACTATTTTTTGTCAGGGTAAAGCAGGCCTGCTAAAGAAAGTTTAGGCATTATGAAGTGCTTCAGCTTTGAATCTAATTCAGGGCTGATCATCAATTTCATGAATATTTTAAGTTAAATGGCCTAGAGTTTGAGATAGTCCCAAGTTTAAGATTATCCCAGTTTTAAGACTGTACATAGTTTGAGAGAGCCCTGCATTTTAAACTGCTTTAGCTTTCACTCAGATGAAAACAATTGAATTTTTTTAATTTAAAAAAAAAAATTGAAATTCAGCTGCACAGAGCACAGGTCAGGAGTGTGGTTAGGTGACTAAAAACGTACTGGTACTTTGCCAGTTCTCCTGCACAATGTTAGAGAAGCCTGGAGACTGCTAGCATTTTTGCCGAATTGCGGTAGCCCCGCTGGCCCAAAAACCAGCTCAGGTTTAGCATGTAACTCAAGTGTCTGAGCCAGCCACCCCTTTGTATGGTCTCACTTCCTTTTCTCTGCTATATTATCAACAGAGCTGGAGGGTCTGATGTAAACATTCCTACATTAGTTCTGGGCCATGAGAAGAACAAGGAACAGTGGTTTCAAGTTTCAGTGGGGGAGGTCTAGGTTGGATATTAGGAAACACTCCAGGGAAACCCCGGTATAACGCGCCCCGCGATAACGCGAATTCGGATGTAACGAGGTCATAAGGTGGCTCCGGCTGCCCAAGCAAAAAAAAAAAAGGGGGGGGGGGAAAAAAAACCCCAAAACCCACAAAAAAAAAAAAAAAAAGCGGCCAGAGCATCGCCGAAGCGCCCAGGGGCGGTGGTCAACTGGGGGCCCCGCGCGCCTCCCTGACGGTGTCCTCAGCAGAAGGTGGGGAGGGGGCAGGGGAAGCCCCCAGCGCTCCAACGCATCCCCGGCAGAAGCGCAGGGGGTGGCGGGGGAAGCCCGAGCACTGGGACCCCCAAGCACAGCGGCCCCGGGAGGCAGCCTCACAGCTTGGAGGGTTTTGGGGGCACTCACTCCCCACTGCGGCCTCAGGCTGTGACGAGGGGACAGGGCATCTCCGGTCGTGGGGCCGCAGTGGGGGGTGGGGAGGACATAAGGTAGCAAATGGGTTGAGGAGCTGCGGGGGGGGGGGGGGGAATGAGGGGGCCCTGAGCGGCACCCCAGGGAAGGAGCAGAAAGGGGTGGAACCGTGGGCGGGTAGGAGCCTGCAGCCCTGGAGCTCTCTGTCCCCGGCAGGCGTGGGGCCGCAGCTTCTCTCCCCTGCTGGGCACTAGGCGGCACACAATAAGGCCATTGCGGAGAAACTAAATGAATTCTTTGCAGCGGTCATCACAGCTGAGGATCTGAGTGAGATTCCCAAACCTGAGCCATTCTTTTTAGGTGACACATCTGAGGAACTGTCCCAGATTGAGGTGTCAGTAGAGGAAGTTTTGGAACAAATTGATAAACTAAATAGTAATAAGTCACCAGGACCAGATGGTAGTCACCCAAGAGTTCTGCAATTTCACAGTTGAGTTCCTTCAGAACTACTAACTGTAGTCTGTAACCTATCATTTTAATCAGCTTCTGTACCAAATGACTGGAGGATAGCTAATGTGATGCCAATTTTTAAAAAGGGCTCCAGAGGTGATCCCGGCAATTACAGGCTGGTAAGCCTGACTTCAGTACCGGGCAAACTGATTGAAACTATAGTACAGAACATTATTGTCTGACACATAGATGAACACAATTTGTTGGGGAAGAGTCAACATAGTTTTTGTAAAGGGAAATCATGCCGCACAATTTACTAGAATTCTTTGAGGGGAGCAACAAGCATGTGGACAAGGGGGATCCAGTGGATATAGTGTACTTAGATTTTCAGAAAGCCTTTGACAAGGTCCCTCACCAAAGGCTCTTAAGCAAGTTTCCCTGGGATAACAGGGAAGGTTGTCTCATGGATTGGTAACAAGTTAAAAGATAGGAAACAAAGGGTAGGAATAGATGGTCAGTTTTCAGAATGGAGAGAGGTAAATCGTGGTGTCTCCCCGGGGTCTGTATTGGGCCCAGTCCTATTCAATATATTCATAAATGATCTGGAAAAAGGGGTAAACAGTAAGGTGGGAAAATTTTTAGATGATACAAAATTGCTCAAGATAGTTAAGTCTCAGGCAGACTGCGAAGAGCTACAAAAGGATCTCTCAAAACTGGGTGACTGGGCAACAAAATGGCAGATGAAATTCAATGTTGATAAATGCAAAGTGATGCACATTGGAAAACATAATCCCAACTATACATATAAAATGATAGGGTCTAAATTAGCTGTTCCCACTCAAGAAAGAGATCTTGGAGTCATTGTGGATAGTTCTCTGAAAACATCCACTCAATGTGCAGCAGCAGAAAAGCAAACAGAATGTTGGGAATCGTTAGGCAAGGGATAGATAATAAGACAGAAAAGATCATATTGCCGCTATATCAATCCATGGTACGCCCACATCTTGAATACTACGTGCAGATGTGGTCACCTCATCTCAAAAAAGATGTATTGGAATTATAGAAGGTTCAGAAAAAGGCAACAAAAATGATTAGGGGTATGGAACGGCTGCCACATGAGGAGATTGGGATTTTTCAGCTTGGAAAAGGGACGACTAAGGAGGGATATGATAGAGGGCTAAAAAACCATGACTGGTGTGGAAAAAGTAAATAAGGAAGTGTTATTTACTCCTAGTTCTTGTGTTATGAGGGGTCACCAAATGAAATTAATAGGTAGCAGGTTTAAAACAAACAAAAGGAAGTATTTTTTCCTCAGTCAACCTGTGGAACTCCTTGCCGGAGGATATTGTGAAGGCCAAGACACTAACAGGGTTCAAAAAGGAACTAGATAAGTTCATGAAGTATAGGTCCATCAATGGCTATTAGCCAAGATGGACAAGGATGATGTCCTTAGCCTCTGTTTGCCAGAAGCTGGGAATGGGCGACGGGATGGATCACTTGATGATTACCTGTTCTGTTCATTCCCAGTGGGGCACCTGGCATTGGCCACTGTCGGAAGACAGGATACTGGTCTAGATGGACCTTTAGTCTGACCTAGTTGTGGCCGTCCTTATGAGTGATCCTGCCCTGGCTGGTTAAATCTACTTTAGAGATAGATTACATCTTGGTGTGGCATGAAGTGACTGCCCTGAACTAAAGAATCTGAGCCTGTACTTTAAAAATAGTCACTCCTCAATTAAAGTTGTCCTGGTTAACGTCGTTGTTGCATTGCTGATCAATTAGGGAACATGCTCATTTAAAGTTGCCCAATGCTCCCTTATAATGTCGTTTGGCAGCCGCCTGCTTTGTCCACTACTTGCAGAAAGAGCAGCCCGTTGCAGCTGGCTAGTGGGGGCTTGGAACCAGGGTGGACCGGCAGCCCCCCTATCAGCTCCCCGCTCCCCTAAGTTCCCTGTGTGGCAGCTGCCCACCACGCTATCAATTGCCGGCAGTTCAGCTGTTCCTCCCCCCACTGCCGTGTGCAGCCTCCTGCTTGCTAATGTCAGGGTGTCCCCCTATTCCCCCCCGCTCCTGTACCTTATCTCCACAGAGCTGGGGGTGGGGTGGATGGCGGACACGACAGGGCTCAGGATGGAGGGAGCTTGCTGGAAGCAGCTGCTGTCTCAACTTGCTGATCTACTTAAAAAGACAAAGTACTTAGAGTGCAGTCAGCGTACTTAAAGGGGCAATGCACGTCTCTGTCTCTCTCTGCCATGCTGTCTCCCCTCCCTCCATTGCTGCTGCCTTGTACAGTGTGAGGCTACATTAACAATAATATGTTAACCCTTGAGGGCTCAGCCGAGTGCTAGTTCATCATTTAGCAGTAAGGCATTCCCTGGGAAATATCCCACCCTCTAACTTCACCACCTCAACCAAGCTTCACAATCATCATTGCTGTGTACAGTATTGTTTGTTTAAAACTTGTACTGTATATGTGTGTATAGATATATATATATAAAATAAAAGAACAGGAGTACTTGTGGCACCTTAGAGACTAACAAATTTATTTGAGCATAAGCTTTCCTGTTCCAGTCTATGCATGCGAAGAAGTGGACTGTAGCCCACGAAAGCTTATGTTAGTCTCTAAGGTGCCACAAGTACTCCGGTTCTTTTTGCGGATACAGACTAACACGGCTGCTACTCTGAAACATATAAAATAGTCTTTTGTCTGGAAAAAAAGATTTCCCTGGAACCTAACCTCCCCCACCCCCATTTACATTAATTCTTATGGGGAAATTGGGTTCGCTTAAAGTAGAATTTTTCAGGAACATAACTACAGCGGTAAGCGAGGAGTTACTGTACAACTGTTAGTTGAAGAACCAGTTTTCTTCACACTTGACCTATTTTGTAGATCTCATTGAAATTTAAAAATCAGACTGATTATTTTAAATACATCCTGTAACTTATGTTAAGTATGGTGATATTAAAAAAGTATATATTGTGCTAGTTGAAACTTAAATATAAAAGGATAGTATATTTGAAAGCATAAGCACAATGGGGCAGAAGTAAGTATTCATTGTTAACTCCACATTTATTAACTTTTGAGTACTTGATTACTCAAAGTTGCATTAATTCTAGATTCTTTGCCTGAAATATATGAAGACATAAGTATGTCATTGAAGAGAACAATTTCAATTGGAGTCTCTAAAGATATATCCAATTTTAAAAAAAAAAATACTATGTGAAACTTATATGCAGTGGTCACTCTTTTAAACATTTTTTCCATTTTGAGATTATTACGTGTTCTAGCAGCAGTCTCCATTTTAACTATAACAAATCTTTCAAAATAGAAGAAACTTTAAATTTGATCACTGTAAAAATATAGTTCCCCGATCAATTTGAGAAATAGTTTGCTCCTTAAGACAGCAGAGAGTTTTCTTCCCCATCTTTCCATCGCCCATATTGACTGGTCTGTAACTGGCACATGTTGACTGTTGTAGACAGTTGCAAAGGTGGTTGGAATTTTCTGAACATATATAAAAGAAATAAACTATAAATATATACTTACATAAGAAAAGTCCCCCTCAAAACCACTGTCATTTCTACTGTGTGTGCACAAGCCTATGTAAACTGCATGATTTTTATCTGGTTTTACACAACAGTCACTGAAATAATGTTATTTAACAGACAATTAGAAAATAAAATAATTTTGTGGTAAATAAATTAAAACATTAAGCTTTTCCCCTCCCACAGATGATGAGGATGGTATGGACTGCATGGACAACGAGAGGCGACCACATTTCCCTCAGTTTTCCTACTCTGCAAGCGGACGAGAATAACTTTTTTGTTTGTTTGGTTTTTTTTTTGTTCTGCTTCACTGTCATCTTAGGTTTATCACTGAAAACGATTCCTGAACATCACCACCAGTACTAGCCATGAAGATTGCAGGGGCACTTTCAGAGGTCATTCAAAATTGAAAAGTTCCCTCCTTCTCCAACAGGCCTTTTTGTTTTTTGCATGAAATTTTGTATCAGTCTGAGGTCTCCTCCTGTTGCTGCTCCCACTGTCTCAGTATAATAGCAACGTCAAGAAGTAATTTTGAAATCTTTTGAAGTCAGACGACTTAAATCCTCCATTGTATACAGTGGGGACTAAAAGAAACGTTGGTTGCCGATGCATTTTCTCATTTCTTCTAGAAGACAAATCAGAATTGTAATTAGTCTAAAAAGATGAGTTTATAATGTTTTCTTGCATCTGTTTGTGCTGGTCAGAACAAGGAAAGATAGGGGGTGGTGATGTAAATATGCAAGGTTTTTGTTAGGCATATCATTACTTGAAGCAGGTCTATGTCATTAACATCTGGCTGGAATGCGTTTGGGAAACATTTGAGAGAAGAACTTGTAACTGTTCATATATATATAAATATATATATATATATATAAATATTATTTTTTAATTACTGTTGGATGCTACAGAAGAAGCAGAAGGGCTGGGCTCACCCAGCCTGCTACTTAGACTTCCAGATTCACGTGCAATCATGGAGAATTGAACATTCTACGTGCAAGAAACGAAGGCATAAAAGCAGCATTTGAAGTTGTTTAAAGGTCTTATAATTTGCACCAGATAACATCTTTCTCATGCTTTTCTCTGTCTTTCTTGATATACATCACCTCGGATGGCTGAAGAATGTAGACAGGCATAATGGTATTGCTTTTCACCAAAATTTGTGCACCAAGGTAAACAGGTGTTTGCCATATTTGTTTTTATTTTGAGTTTGTGAATTAGCTTTTCTCCAGGTGTTTAACTCTGAATATATATATATATTTTTTGTTATACCACAGTAGTATTTATTTTTAGTGATAAGGATTGTATGCGTCATGTTTGCAAATGCTGCTACATCTTAGAACAGGCTTACAGCAGTTTATTTTGTAATATATGGAAGGACTGTACAAGCTGAAGAGAATAACGCACTTTTTCTCCCATGTGGAAATTTTAACAAGGCTCTGAAATTGTACATATTACTTAGAATTGGGCTTTTGTGGATGAAATACTGTCATATAATTCTTTGGTGCTGTAGATGAGGACATTCCAACTCCATGTGCCAAGAGGTCAAAAATGCTATGTCTGTGCTCCACTAAAGTAATATAAAAGCCTGGCAGCACAATAGAAATTTTTGGTTTTATATGGAGAAAATACATTCAAACAATTGAGACCACAATGATTGCAAGAAAAGCACTTTATTATAATTCTGCAAACAGTAGATTGATGGGAACATTTGCCCTGAACCAAGTAGGTAATGAAACCCAGCATGTGAAGTATGACAATGATAACTGACTGACTGAATTTAAAACCATCATGGTAAACACCACACTGAAAGGAAAATGTTGTCTTTTCATTTCTAAAGATCTGTATTTAGCAGGATGTGTGCACAAACCTTAGCTTCGTTCTTCATTAAAGATCATTTTAATAATAAACCTTTTGGTGCTAGGAGTTGGGATATTCCAAAGCTGCCAGGAAGTGCAGTAAGGGTGAGTATGTGCCCTTGCTAACGACATCAGAAAACCCTGGGATTATTATTGAAGAACCTTGTTAGCTCCCATGTAGAATGTGATATTACAGAGTATTATTGATAGCATTGTGTCACTTGGTAAATGACTTTTGAAAGAAGAAATGTTCATATGCAGATGCCTTATCCTCTTGCTGTTTAAAGTTTAGATATCTTAGCATGAAGATCACTGCTGGCAGTGGATGTGCTGAGGTGGTCAAGGGGTAGATGGGCATTTTAGCAAGGCAGCTAAGACAGACTCATTCAGATAATTTTTCATGTTTCTACCTAAGCAAAGTTTTATCTTTAATAATCAACAGATAAGAGGTGTATCTTTGTGTATGCGCTAACCACATAATCTCACCCTATCACCTTGTAACACTACTCATCTTTAGAGAATGGCACTTCAGAGGGAAAGGTGCACAGTAAATACATTGTAGGTCTATTCTGCACCTTTTTCTAAAAATGTCTACACTGAAATAGTGATGATTTAAATGAACTAATTAGTAAATAGAGCATTGAATAGTTCTCTAGAAATGCCTCATAGATGCAAACAAACTGTGTTGATTAAAAATCTCCAGTATATGCCTCCATTTTCCTCTCTAATTTTCAGTTTGTGTTAGCAATAAATACCTTGTGCATTTCTTGAAGTTAATGAGAAGCCAGGGTTGTGCTTTGGGCTGATGGTTCCTCATGTGTAGGACAGGCCCCATGGCTAGATCATTATTGCTTATGTAGTTGGAATGTAGTTTGCAGTAAATATCAATTAGTGAATTATTTGAAAATTTTAAGACTTCACTCTGAATTGCATAACCTGTCTCAACAATTACCTTTTATCAAGTTTATTACAGACACAGTTAATATTAACTGAATGCTGCCTGGAGTTTGGGAATTCCTGACTTCTGCTACCAGGGTTCGAAATAGACAAAAGAGAAATCTCAAAGCTGTGCTGAGAGAGATGGCTGAAGCATCTCTCTCTTCTGCTTGTCCTCAGCTGTAGTTTGGACTTGGACAGCAGTTGGTAGCTGGTACCTTGAGCCTTCCAATCATAGTACATTTCAGACTTTGACTCCAGCTTGTACTGACTTCCATGACATATAGTATGCCCTCTTATACTGCAGCCATCTTTGAGGAAATGTGTCATTTCTGTTTGGATTTTGGCAGTTTTGCACACAGCTTTGCTTTCCACACTAATCCAATACATTCCTGTTGCTAAAGGAACATTTATTCCAGTATTGTTTTACATTTTTCTTTTGACATGTCATGTCATCTTTATTTGTGGCTTCTTAAAGCTGACTGTTCTTGCAGGGGCCATGTGCTTCTCCTAGAGTACAAAAGTAAGGTCCTTCCTTACTAACTGCAGGGTCTATATGTTACACCTCAATGTACACACTTTGCTGCTACTGTTTGTACTGTCTACAGTAGAATTTCCTTATCTTGCTCCTGGTAGTGCATTACAGGCAAGCATGAAATGTAAAGTATTTATTTAAATAAAAAACCTCTAAATTGGTAATTGAATTACCTCCCTGTAGCTTTAGAGTTTGACATTTCTTGATCTTGCTAGTTCTTTCATTAGATACATGCAAGATCTAGTCATGTGGTTAAGGATATTAAGCAGACAACTATGAACCCAAGAAACCGTATTACTGTTGGTCATACTTAAACTGTTTATTTCCTTAAGTATATGACCCACAAGGATGTGAAATAACTACAAGAAACTGTTTTTGTACACTGTACATCCTTAGTATTTTTACACGTATATGATAGGGATGCACATTATTTTCCTTCGTACAGACAGCTTAAATAAAGCACTATGTCAATCTGCTACTTCTGTGTTTATTAATGCTGCTTTTGTTCTGAAGTTTTGTAAATACATATGTTGACGTTTGCTGAAAATGAAGTATTTTTTATATCAGATATTAAATATATGTAGGATAAAATTCCTAGCTTGTGCCATATAAGGTGGTGAAAATCTGCTTGTTTTAGTTTTTCATTGTATTGCAAATCAGACGATATCTCAAGTGTGAGTGTTAGTTTAAACATTATTGATCATGACATCTAGTACTTTTTTTTTTTTAAATTTCAGGAAGATCATCCAGTTTTGAAATCTGAAAGGCCCCCACCTAGTTTCTTTTTATAAAATACATACATCATGATTTCCTTTTTTTATCCTGCATGGAATAATCGGATGGCCCATGTTACCTTGCTGTACAGTCTCATTGATAAATATACAACCTTTAATTTGACATCTTTCAAATACAAGTTGAAATCCAATTTCTGTCACTTAAAGTCAACATCTACTCCTGAAAAAAGCACCAAGCTTCTTATGACTGAGCTAAATGTAGCAATGGTTTTACTAGTTGTATTTAAAGAATAACATGTATGTTATTCTAAAGGCTTTGAATCAGCTTGGATTACTTTGGTCACCTAATGATTACATAGACCTTTCTCTTTACGGAAGCATAGATCACTACAGAGTGTACTTTAAAGAAGTTTCAGGATGGGATCAGAGTCATACAGGATCCTACTACCACATGGGTTGAGGCGAATTTCACCCTCTTTACTTCCACAGTTCACTTGAATATAGACTGATTGCCTGCACAAAGCTGGAACAAGTGAATTTCATCTTTAGAGAGATGCACCAAGCAAGTGTTTGTTCTGTAAGTACATATTTATTAAGGTTTCAGAGTAGCAGCCATGTTAGTCTGTATCCGCAAAAAGAACAGGAGTACTTGTGGCACCTTAGAGACTAACAAATTTATTTGAGCATAAGCTTTCGTGGGCTACAGCCCACTTCTTCGGATGCATAGAATGGAACATACATATATATATACACACACACACACACAGAGCATGAACAGGTGGGAGTTGTCTTACCAACTCTGAGAGGCCAATTAAGTAAGAGAAAAAAAACTTTTGAAGTGATAATCAAGATAGCCCAGTACAGCCAGGTTGATAAGAAGTGTGAGAGTACTTACTTTATTAAGGTATGTTAGTGGTTTAATCACCTAGGAAAGAATTTATCTGGTCCATGAAAGCTAATTTTTTAAAATTTTGATTTGAGTGCTAACCAAGAGCTCATGCAAATTACTTCATATTATAAACACTTAGCATTAGACTAAAACTTAATTGAAGAAATCTTGTACAAGGCTGTTTAAAGGAAAAAGTTTCCAGTTAGCCATATATCTTGAAAACTCTCTATGCCTTCTCCTTACATATGCTGGTCGCCTTTAGTAATAAGGTGTTATAGGCCAAAAGATAACTGCACAGCTTCCCCTTAATTTCAAAATGAGACGCACAGAAAAAAATCAAGGTAAGTTTATTGGTATTTACATATGTAACAAGACACACATGCTGGAATAAATTACAAAATACATTTTAAATATTTTCTTAAAAATTACACAAGCTAAATGTTAAATCCATCCTATGCACCTGCTGTTTTAACTTGATCCTGAGCCTAACCCTTCACAGGAAGCACTTAGGAAAACTCACATGCTGGAAGTCTTATTCCAAACTTTGGAAAGGTGTTTGCATTCAAAAAGTTTTAATAATTTAAATGCAATGTGTGAAACAGCTAAAGTAAATCAACTGAACTTAACCAGCAAAAGTTTTCTTTCACTTGAAACATTGCTTTGGGTCAGCTTCAACCAAGTCAGCATTCAGACTGGTACACAGGGTAACTGAAAGATAAAAATAAAAAATGGGATTATAAATAGCTTGTGTTTCATAGTTACCTGAATTTCTAATTTGTTTGTCTCGCTTCTTCCTGTGGTTAAGTTCTCAGAAAAGAAGTTCATCAGTGGTTACGAATGTGGTGATACTATGTAAACAAATGCTGTTTCAAAAAGTTATACTTCCTGTGGACCTGCTGTCCTTGGCTTTTTCCAAGATCAAAAATCTTACAGGTAGTAAGAACAGAATCTGATTCCTGAAAAACAAGATCTCCATGAGCTCTAGACATTGTTCATGTTTAGCAGTAAGTAAGAGCTCTTGCTTTAGAGCACGTCTAAGGTACTGCCCCTTCTCCTTTCCAGGAAAGAGGCGGCAGGTTTGTGCCAGAGACTATTTACTGTGAATTGTTCAGACTGTAGATTAGTGGGCTGCTGTATCAAAACAGGAAGCTGCTTCTGTTCTGTTAAGAAACCTCTGGTGGGAAGACTAATTTGCAACTTTTCAGCTCTTCATAGTTATTGTGTGTATGTAAACACTTGCATTTCAGTACTTAGTTAATGGTGGTCCAATGAACAGTATTTGAGCTGGGATACCTATCTAGAATGAAACTCTGAATTAGATTAAATTTTGATCAAAGATGTTTCATGTAAATTGAGAAAAAGGCCACTTAAATTTCTAATGTTCTTACAGCTATTCTATCTTTAGATGACTGAAGGTTTTATTGAAATTCATAAGGTAATTAGGACTTGAGTTGCTCCTAGAATTCAGAGGGCACTGGATTAAGCAAGGAGAATTCTGCTATTTAAGAAGATGTGGCCTATTTATGGAAGCCAATAATCTGGTAAACAAGCAATCTATTAAGGCAGTTGAGGGGAGAGAATAGTTATGTGCCCCTCAATACAGTGCCCGGAACTAAGCTAAGAACCAACGTCAGAGGGGTCTGTCGCAATCCACCTGTTTTATATACTGTGTATATTATTCAACCTTTATATAGCATAACGAGGGTGGGAGCCAAACAGATTCTCTCTGATAGTTGGGTATGGACAAAGCTCAGCATTATTGCTGGTTCTCCTGATTTGGGAGCAACAGGAGTTCAGAGCAGAAGCCAGACTTTCAAAACTGGGAGCTTAAATGCCATGATTAGGTACCTACTTTAGTGGCCTTTCAAAAGTACTCAGCACTTTTAGAAATCGGGCCACTTATGTAGGTTTGTAAATAGGGCCTTTGGACCCTAATTTTGGGCTCCTTGTTTTGAAGCAGTTTATTTGTAAAAGATACTATATAGTTCAAACAGAAGTTAAGGACTTCATGCACGAATTACTGGCTGTAGTGCTATAGCTTGTCATATCAGACCAGATGATCATAATGGTCCCTTCTGGCCTTAAATTTGTCAATGAAGATCACTGCCTGAGAGCATCTTAGACAGTGAGTGGTGTACCAAGCAATTGACAATATTTAACCCATTCGCAGTTATGTGAGACACAATTGCAATGAACATGCTTCAAATTTCATGAGAGGAAGAAATAGAAAGGGAAATCAGAAGGCCTGTTACTAATTAAATTCAACCTGTATCAGAGAGAGGGGATTGAGGAGTTAAAATTCTCTGCTGGGCTGTGGGACAAATATTTTCAAAATAATTATTTCTAACTTAAAACTTCCAGAACCTTCATTACAACATTATGAGCAAGTTGCTATAATAAAATAACACAGGCCACCCTCAGTCATAAGGCAACAGCTAATATTACTTGTAAAGTGTGTAGTTCACACTGACCACTTTCTCCAGCATTTAAAACCTCTTAACTTGTGATAGCACCTTCTACAACGTGTTAAGCACCTGATTGGTACTAAGAGCCCTCAAGTCCCATTCCTTGTGGTAGCTGAACAACTGGCAGGACTGACCTTTTTGTTAAATCAGTAAAATAACAAGAACTTGTCCAGAAAATGTAAGAATATTTCTGTGGAAAAGATTTTCAGAACACTCTAGGCCAGGTAGCATCTTTAACATTAGACACTTTTGTGTCCCTTGAATGCTAAGAATAAGGGAAATATTAACATGGGGTTAGAGTGGAATGGTATTAACTTTAAGGCAAATACCAAATACGGATGCTGAATGTAATATTCAGTTTTTGTTTTCCCCACTCGTGTAACTGGATTAAAATGTAACTAGCCATCTTAAAAAGTTGGATTCAATTTGCAGTACAAAAAGTAGTGTATACTTGGGAATATGAATACAGGTAGCTTGGCATTATTGGTACCAGTGTGACTACGCTGTCCCAAGAGTGAGATGATTTACATGTCAAATTACATGTAAACTAGGGCGGACAAGTGATTAAAAAAATTAACAGCACGATTAATTGCACTATTAATAATAGAATACCATTTATTTAAATACTTGAAAATGTAGAAAACATCCAAAAATTTATTTATTTCAGTTACAACACAGAATAGGAAGTGCACAGTGCTCACTTTAGTTACTTTTATTATAAATATTTGCACTGTAAAAACTAAATAGTATTGTTCAATTCACCTAATACAAGTACTGTAGTGCAATCTCTTTATCGTGAAAGTTGAACTTACAAATGTAGAATTATGTACCAAAAAATCTGCATTCAAAAATAAAAATGTAAAACTTTAAAGCCTACAAGGCCAATTAGTCCTACTGCTTGTTCAGCCAATCACTCAGACAAACAGGTTTGTTTAAGTTTGCAGAAGATAATACTACCTGCTTCTTGTTTACGTCACCTGAAAGTAAGAAACAGGTGTTCTCATAGCATTGTTGTATCCAGCATTCCAAGATATTTACATGCCAGATGCACTAAAGATTCATATATCCCTTGATGCTTCAACCACCATTCAAGAAGCTGTGTCCATGCCGATGACAGATTCTGCATAACAACTATCCAAAGCAGTGCGGACCGACGCATGTTCATTTTCATCATCTGAGTCAGATGCCACCAGGAGGAGGTTGGATTTTCTTTTTTGGTGGTTCGGGTTCTGTAGTTTCCACATCAGTGTTGCTCTTTTAAGACTTCTGAAAGCATGCGCCGCACCTCGTCCCTCTCAGATTTGGAAGGCACTTCACATTGGTATCTTCTTTGCATTTTGTCAAATTTGCAGTGAAAGTGTTCTTAAAATTAACAGCATGTGCTGGATCATCATCTGAGACTGCTATAACATGAAATAT